ATTAAAACTTTGGGATCAAAAATAACTTTTATTAATTAACTTAACAGTTAACGTTCCCCAAGTGTTGAAATTTTTGGTATTGTAAGAAGCTAAAAGGCTCTAGGCATCGCGCTTTTCTATATAAGCAAAATTTCAAATGCATTACTGGCCATTAGAATATTTGTACCGGGAAAGGATGCTAATAATAGAATCACGTTTATTGAACAATATATTATAATAGAAAGAGCAAGTGGTTAAACTTTAAGTTAATTTTTAAATTAAAATTAACTAAATATTAAATTAAATTTAGTCTCTTACACACATGGGTACTAATCTAAAGCGATTATAAACTTGATGTGTATTCATGTAAAAAAAATGCACATTTTTGGTATATTTCTAAATTTCAGGAATATATTGTATAATAAATGGATGTGTGTGCTACAACGTCACACACAGATTTATATAAAAATTGAATTAATTTTTTTCCCTGGAAAGGCATTCTATGTTTGGATCAATTTCTTTGACATCAGGCGAAGACAACTGTAAAAAGCGTTTCTTATGTAAAATTAGAAGTTGCAATTCAGAACGTTTCATTATCTATATCTACATATATTAACTCCGTAAAAGAGTGTAGGTTACCTGGAAGAAGTTGAAACAAAAGAACAGATTAAAATCATACTGAATGATGCAACACTTCTTTTTTTTCAAATGGACTCATTTTGCTAGTTAAGCCCTTGTAGACAGGGCAGGTAATCATGTGTGAGAGCCATCTCAATTGTGGAACCATCTAGTGTCGGTTCTCGCTACCAAAGTTTTGACGTTCGATTTTATTCAATTCAAGCTCTCGTCAGATGCTAAATATTGCCATGGTTTAATTTTGCCGTGAGTACCAGAACCAAATTGATATTCAAGGGATTTTTTGCATGTCACATAATCATATGACATGTGTGCTTACGATTTTCTGGATGCGAACCTCACAGGCTAAGTGAATTATTTGAAAAAACTCTAAAAAATTTAAGTTCAAACTGTAACCCTGAAAAATGAGACTTGAACACCGAAGATTTCGTTCCTATCATGTATACTTTCGTACCGGATGTGGCTGTAGGTGTTTCAGCAATAACACACACACAAATCACAAATCAATTTATCATCAATTTATAGATTAAACTATAAAAAGATTAAAATTACTCATCTCTTAGAAGCAAGCAGAGTTATAGACTAACTGGTTTTTATATAATCCTCCTACACATTTTTTAAATTTTTTTAACAAAGGTGAGTGTTAGAACTTTTTTCCTAATGGAACAGTGAATATTTGCTTAGTTGTAGAAAGTTTATTAATTGTTGACTAACTGTCCCAGCCTTTTCATTATCAACAAATACTCTTAATTATTTTACTTCAACTGTGGCTTTATATACTTAATCTCATTAATATATCACACTCCTTCTGTATGTATAAGAAGGTGGCACTTAAGATTAGTATAATACATCTCAACGTGAATCTCTCTCTCTCTCTCTCTC